GAGGGGTCCTTGCGCTCGGGCCGGCGAGCCCCTCCGAGGGGTCCTTGCGCTCGGGCCGGCTAGCCCCTCCGAGGGGTTCTTCCCCAAAGAGTTAGTGACATAGTAATAGTACAGAGATCCGTGCACATCCCTGCTCACAGCAGCGCAGCTCATAATAGCTAAACCTTGGAAGTGGCCTACATGTCCATGAACAGATGAAGAAAACTATGGCATTTATACAGTGCAGTACCCAACTGCCATAAAGAAAGATAAGCTCGAGTCATCTGCAGGAAAATGGATGCACCTTGGGGCTGTAATGCTCAGGCAAATAAATCACACACAGAACCATCATGTGGTTTCTCCTACATGAGAAGTATGAATAAAGAGCCAAATAAAAGATAGACAATAGGAAGCACAGAGAAAAGTTTTGTAAAGGGGAAGGGGGTCAAGAGAAGGAGGGAGGGGAGGAAGGAAAGAGAAAGGGAATAACAAAAAAGGAATGAGCATGTATTAGCAATCATGTCCCTGTCCAAGGAATGTCAACATTATGTCCTAATTAAAAAACCCAACTCATAAAGAGAAAAACCTTAAAAGCAGTACCAAAGAACAAAGACAAGGATCATGGTTTACTTCTTGCTAGAAATGAGTAATTAGAAATTATAAAATGAGTAGAGTTGCCTCTTTAAAAGTAATGAAAAGGGGAAAAATACATCAACTTATAATTCTATAGCTAAAAAGATGAAGGTAAAAGATTTTTCAAAAATGCCAAAGCTGGAACAATTTACCACCAGTGTGCCCTGTCCAACAAATGGTAATAGGATAGTTAACTATGGTGTCAGTGTGCATAAGAAATGCCCAGCAAAGAGGGGTTGAAGGGAGGAGAGGAGAATGGGGGAAAAAAAGAATTAAATTATGGCATGTAGAGGTACAAATTCTTCATGATGAATATGATCATTATTTATACCTAAAATACATGGATGAACTTAAAAGCCCAGCTGACTGGCACCTCATAGCTCTAGGAGTGGATGATGGACTCACTGAAGAAGGAAGACCCACCTTGGGTGTGGGTGCTGCCAACCAATAGGCTTGCAGCCTGGATAGAATAAAAAGGGAAAGGAGGACTCACATCTCCTTTCTTGGATTAGCTCTGCTCTTTGTCATCACCTTTAGATGTTTGTCTCCAAGCTTTTAGAGCAGACTCTTCAGCCTTCCAGTGTAGACTCTTTGCATTCCCTTCCCAACCCAGACCCTACTGGGACTCTGCAGTGAGCTCCAGGTCTTCCACCTCTGACTGCCCTTCTGACTCTCTAGCACCCAGACAGCCCTTTTGCATTCTTTCACTCTTGGCTCTGCATGTGGCCATTATAAGCTTGCAAATCTTTTATGCATCTAGTGAACTCTAACTGATACCATTAATGAAAATCCTCTAGACAGATTAATGGCACTAGATAGAAATATGTATCTACACAAATGAATAGCGATGGAAATGTTAACTACATGGATAAATATACTTTTTCTTGTCATTTAAATCTCCTTTGGTGCTGGGGAGATACCTCAGTAGAGTAAGTGCTTACTTGGCAAGCAGAGGATCCTGAGTTCAATTCCTGGTACCACAAAAAAAAAGAAAAAAAAAGAAAGAAAAATCTCTTTAAACATCAGGTGGTAGATTTATAATGTTTATACTGTTGAACATGACTTTGGGGCCAAGGATAACCCACTCAGAAAGGCATGACACCTCCATGTAAGGTCAGTTCTTGTTATTAATAATCACTTACCTTTCAAAATATAAGGAGACTGGGCCACATGTTCATCACCATAAAGCACTTCTATCTTCAGCCCTTTGTTGACACTGTCATACATTCTGTAGCGCACCAAAAAAGTCCCATCATTCCTATCTAAAGGCTGAGGGACATGAATCCGGACTACCTCTTTAGGTGAAAGAGGTTTGACTACTACTGTGAATAGCGTTTGGCCTGAAAGAGAAAGAAATACAAATAACTCTCCCACTTCCACTTATTATGCTTTAATTATTGGACAGATATATTTTTATAGGATTTACTTTGTCCTGTAGCACTGATGATAAACAAGGAGTATTTCACCTTGGAAGAACCTTTGAGGCCAGGAATTATGCCCTGCTCATATCTTCAAACCAAGGATCTGGCTTAACATTTGATTAGTCCTTTAATAAATATTTTTTGAATGAACAAAATCGACTTTAAAAAAGGCAAAAAAGAAATGAACAGCCTCTTTGATATTTTCTTCTTTAAACAGCACTAAAGATTAGGCAATTAAAAATTCAGGAACTCTAAGAATGAGAGACTTGTGTGGTCATTCACTTTCCTCCTTGCAAATTATATGTGTTCCTTCTTAACTATTTCAATACCAAATAGCCCTCATGCCTAAGAAAGTTTTTCTTTTTAAACCAAATTCCAAATCCTTCTGCTAAGCATAGTTTTATTTATTTTTTTATAGGTCAGCAAAAATATTTCTCAGTCTCTTCAGTTTAGTTACAATAATGCAGCATCTGACACCTCACAATTAAGTAATCAAATACCAAACTCAGACATCTTAGGATCCTCCAAACAACTCTGGCAAGATTATCAAGGAATCTGTTCAAATAAATGAACCATAATTTAAAAAATGGGGGATGATATAAAAGGTAATAACATGACAGTATTAGAAATGGTGTCTGAATTGTGTAACATATACTCCTCTGAAGTCGGGATTCAGAGTTTGATTCCTTAGACCCTAATGATTTTCTCAGAAAAATTTTGCTCCAGTTTTGCTGAAACTGCAAATATCCCCGGCAATTGTCTCTTTTTTTTTTTTTTTTTTTTTTTGGCGGAACCGGAGATTGAACTCAGACCCTTGTGCTTGCCAGGGAAGCACTTATTCCACAGAACCCTCTCAGCAGCCCTGCAATTCCTGCAATTGTCTTTTTTTTTTTTTTTTGCAATTGTCTTTTTGGCAGTGTGTTCCCAGTAGCCAATCTGAGAGTGTTATTCAGTTTTCCTTGCTGTTGATTGGCTGCTGCCCAGAAACCCATGTTGGGCAGATGCACCAGCCTTTCTGCCATCATAACAGGTTGTGGTAGGGTGTGTAGCTACCTCAGGTGTTCCCTTAACCTGATATAAACATCATTAAACAATCTTTCAAAATGTTAAATTATTTTAAACATTGAAATTGTGTGAAACACACAACATAAAGTCCACCATCCAAACATTTGCCCTTTTGCTAGGGACCAAAATGAAGGTCCTGAATGTGCCAAGCAAACATTTTACCACTAAGCTGTATCCCAAAAACCACCCTATGTTTAAGGATATGTGTTACATAGTTCAGAGTGTTAAGTATATTTACATTGTTGTACAAGAGATCTACTGACCTTTTTTCACCTTGCAAAACTGGAGACTCTATACCCATTTAGCAACTTACATTTCCACCCTTCTCCCAACAACCATTATTTTCGTTTCTGCAAACTCGACTACTTGGATAACTTGTGAAATCTAAAAGGAACTTTTACTTTTTGAAACAGGGTCGTACTACATAGTTCAGCCTGGTCTTAAACTCACTACCTAACCCAAGTTGGCCTAGAACCTGCGGTGATCCTCCTGCGTCAGCCTCCCAAGTCCTGGGCTTACAGGGGTGGGTCACCAAGCCTGGCTAAAAGGTTACTTTCCAAGACCATCAAACATTCCATTATATGAACACATCCCACTTTTTAGGAATTACCATCCCTTCAAAGCCTTTTGGCTAAGATCAAGTATATTTAGCAACTAACTTATGGTTGGCTATTATCATAATTATAATAAATAATTAGCACTACGGGTATATTCTTGCACCTAAATCTTTAACCAAATTAGGATTTCCTCCAAGTGATACAGAAAAATTATTGTCCAGGAACATTTTACTAATTTGTCCCCTAATGTGCACAAGATGAAAGTGCCTATCTGACAGTGTCTCCCTTAATGACAGCATGGGCCTGTACTGCCAGCACTGTGGCAGGTGGAGGCTGTGGGATCTTGAGCTCAAGATCTGCCTGGGGTACATAGTGAGAACCTTTCTCTAAAAAAATAAAAACCAAAACAAGTCCCTGAAGTAGTTAAGGAAGAGGCAGATTTTTTGTTACCACTCAGCTCAATATTCCTCAGGGGTTCTCCTTCATTTCTAAAGATAACCTCTGGTTGGCCTTCAAGGTCTTTAAAGATTTTCTGCGACAGCCTGAATTCCTCTTTTTGCTTGGCATCTTCAGTTATTTTCCTGAACTCCACATTCTTCTGCTTTAGGCAATTGCACCAGCCATCTGTCTGCCTGTAAGCAAACCCTGGCACCCTTCAGATTTCTACCCTAGAAATCTTCCTAGGTGTCCCAGGCCGATTGCACACCTCTGCAGTGTTTCTACTACACACTACTTTCTTTTCTTTTTTCCTTTCTGTGTTTAGAAAAGGGTCTACAGGGTCTCACTACATAGATCAGACTCATAGTTACTCTCGTTTTCAACCTCCCAAGCGCTGGGATTACAGGTGTGCACCACCTCACCCTGTCTCAATCACCTTATCAGCCTGCCCTGTGGGCGGCGCCGGCAGGGCAGGTCGATCGAACCCAGGCCTCCGTGTTCTGCCTAAGCAGGCGCTTTAGTCTGCTGAACTATCTGGCGGCCCCTTCTTTTTCTTTCTTCTCCATGCCCCCGGCCCCCAAGTATTGGGGACGGAACTGGAACCCTTGTTTGTTAGCAATAACAGTACAGTGATGCGGAGTTATTTCAACTTGCCCAACAAGTTGTAAATGTCTTATATCCCCAGCACGATTACCAAGCACAGTACGTAGATAGCAAATGAGTCCCTGTTGGATGGGTGAATTCAAAAAGAAAATTTAAATTCACATTGCACTCTTAAAATCCTTCACTTTGGGTTACTCAAATTACTCTTCCTACCCACCCCCCTTCCTGGAAGCCCCACACCCCAGGCCCCCTTTAGGAAGGTAAGTGAAGTTTCCAGCCACACTACCAGTGGACCAGCCACTGGGTTATTCTGATGGTTTGTTTGTTGATGATACAGGGTGTCAGTTGGCAGGTGCCCTAAACTTTGATATAAATTAGCAAATCCTGACTGGCAGCAATTTAAAACCAGCAGGACAAGTTATTAAGAAGTTGCAAAGGTAAAACGTGGAGGTGAGAGGAACACACATTAAAAGAGGTTCTGGGTAAGACCATCTTCTGTTGAGAAAAAGTCGAATGATTTCTATTAAATTTCACTAATCCCCTTAACTTGCTTTCAAGAACTCAAAACTATAGAGAAATGAAACAGTGTAAAACTGCCTGTGCCCAGCGCCCTGACTTCTTTAAGAGTCCTTGGTTTCAGGATCCCAGTAATCCGAGATGTCGCCAAGGATGCCTGCTGCGAAGGCACTCCCCATGCCCTAACCCTTTAGGCATCTGGGTCGGAGGCGGAGGACCACCCTCCCACACGTGACTCACCCTGCGTTCATCCTAACACCCTGGGCGCCATTCCACGCACTTAAAATGCGGAAGGGCCCCTGGACTCATGCATTCATTCAATGGACTTTTTTTTTTTTTTTGAGCTAGGAACTCCACAAATAGTCTAGGATGGCCTTCGAACTCACTACGTAGCCCAGGCTGGCCTCGAACCCGTGGCGATCTTCCTGCCTCTGCCTGCCGAGCGCTGAACTACTGGCGTGCGCCACCGCGCCTGGGTTTTAACAGGCTTTGGCGGCCACTCCCCTCCCTACACCGGGTCCAGTTGGAGGACAGTTGGGGTCATCCGAGAGGAGAAAGGGCCCCACCGCCCCAAAGGGGCGCGGCGCGGGCCACCGGCAGCTTCCCGGGCGGCGGGGTCCACAAGGGCTGGCGGCCCGACGCTACCTGGGGGCGAGCGAGTGAGGTTCTGGCCCTGTGCGCTGACCGCCTGCAGGTAGAAATAGCGGACCGGCAGGACGACGGCCGCCTGCAGCCCGGGACCCCACACCAGGCTGCGCGACGCGCTCACCGCGGCCTCGGGGGCCGCTGCGGCCCGGAGCGGCGCGAGCTGTAGCAGGAGGAGCAGCGCGGGCGGGAGGCGCATGGCGGCGGCGGAAAAGCGGCGC